ATCAGCAACTGTCGTTACTGTGGCCAAGCGATTGGATGTGACTCCAAGAAGAGTGGGACAAGTGAAATGAAGAATCACATTGGTCGATGTAAGATGTTCCAAGTCTATAACGAATCTGGAAAACAGCAAGTGTTAAGTGGAGATAGTAGTGGTGTTTTGACAACAGTGAAGTATGATGCTAGTTTGTTCAGGAGATCAGTGAACGAGATGATAGTGCTGAATGAGGAGCCCTTCTCTTTTGTCGAGTCTGAAGGGTTTAGGAGGTTTTGTCACAACATCTTACCGATGTACACGGTTCACTGCAGAAGAACAACAACATAAGACATTTTAAAAATGTTTATGTTGGAGAAAGCTAGGTTGAAGCAGTTGTTTACTGATGAGAAGTAGAGAGTGTCTCTTACCACAGATATTTGGGTGGCTCCTACGACATCATACAGCTACATGGTCGTCACAGCTCATTGGATTGATAGGAACTGGGAAATGCAGAAGCGGATCATCAGTTTTAAGCCTATCACAGATCATAAAGGTGACACTATATCTGAGCATTTGAGTTTATGTATTTCTGATTGGGGTATAGATAAGGTCTTCACGGTGACAGTAGACAATGCTAAGGCAAACGATAAGGCTCTGCGACTATTTGCAGAAACCTGTAGGGGGATATGCCCTAATGCATTAGCTAAGGATGGTTCATTGATGCATATGCGTTGCTGTGCACATATTCTCAATTTGATCATTAGGGATAAGTTATCTAAGGTAAAAGAGAGTGTCATGGCTATTAGAAACGCGGTGAAGTATGTGAGATCATCGGGTACAAGGTTGCAGTCGTTTCAGTTGAGGGTGCTGACAGGAAAGGTTAGTAGAGGGAGCTTATCTTTGGACTGTATAACTCGTTGGAACTCCACCTATCTCATTCTGTCTGCTGCTTTGAAGTTCAAGGTTGCGTTTGAGAAGCTCAAAGCCGAAGACATGATGTATAATGATTATTTTATGGAGTTAGAGGAGAATGGACAGAAACGAGTTGGTCATCCTACTTCAGAAGGGTGGGAAGAGGTGCAGAGGTTAGTGAAGTTTCTGAAAATCTTCTTTGGTTACACCTTGGCGTTCTCAACATCCAAGATAGTCACATCTACCATTTGTTACAATGAGATTGTGATAATCGAGAGGAACTTGATTGCACTGAGCAATAGCAGGGATGGGGTTCTACAGATTCAAGCAAGGGAGATGAGAAACAAGTTTGAGAAGTATTGGGATGGACTTTTCAATATGAACCCGCTGATCATCATTGCAAGTGTGTTCGATCCAAGGAACAAAATGCAGTTTGCTTCTATAGTTTTTGATAAGCTCTATGGTAAGGATAGTGTGGAGAGTGCTCATCTCAGAACCTCAATAAGAGCACTGATGAAATCGTTGTATGAGGAGTATGTGAGCAAGCTTGTCCCTCAATCGTAAGGTGATAGTCTAAACAACAGTATCGTTTCGGGGGAAGGTGAAGTTGGTAACTTTTTTGCTATTTCAGATGATGATGATGAGGACTATGAGAGCAGAGATTCTTTGTATTCAGAGATGGTTTCAGAGGCAGCACATGAAGAATCCAGTAGTGAGCTCGACATTTACTTGATGGAAAAACCAATACCAAGAAGAACAAACAATCTCGGATTAGACACCAATGTGTTATCTTGGTGGAAGAAGAAATCTTGTAAGTTTCCAGTCTTGTCTTAACTAGCAAAGGATGTGCTAGCCATCCAAGTCTCCTATGTTGCTTCCGAGTCAGCGTTCGCACGTTAAAAAAAAAAAAAAAAAATCAGTATTATTTATGTTCCAAGAGTTCTAAGAAAAGATGAGAAGGAGAAGAGCCGAAACATTGCCCTTGGTAGTTCAGAGAAGCAAAGAACTGAAGTGGGAGATGGAACAGTGTGTAGAAAGGGTGATCTGAAAGGAAGAGAGCAAACCTACGGAGCAGAGGAGTCAGTGCTCCACGACGATTGCTCCGCAGAGAAAACGAGTGAGGGTTGTGGAGATCAATGGATCCATCCTCTCTGGCAATTTTGTGTGATATCATGCATCCTCTACAAAGACATGGTAAACCCTAAACACTTGTTAACTCCACTTTAAACACTGAAAATCATGTCTCATACCTAGCCCGTTTTCCCTGAATAATGCCCATGACAAGAACCTCACACTGATCTTAAATGAATATAAGGAGTTTTTGTCTGGAAGGTTTGACTTTTGCAGGTAATAGATATAAAGTATGGAGCCGATTTGAACAGCAGTCAGTGGGGGTTCTGGTAAGGGTGTGTCGTCCTAATATGTATGCTTGTATGGTTCAGAGATTTGTGGTTAAAGTATGGTTGATGAAATGAGAGAGTTCCCACACTTTCAAACCCTTCCCACTGATCTGGAACTTGACATTGTTTGAGGACAAACTAGGATCCAAGTCTTGGGGAATTGATATGTTGTGTTTTTGACATAATACACACATACTTAGCATATCATATTTGTGCTTTCCTTGAGAGTTCTTAGTGTGTTTTGAGTTATTTCAGGTGTAGAACGAGTTGGAATGCACCAGAAGGAGCATATGGAAGAAAGAATGCAAAAACCAGAGTTTTCCATCGCAGAGCACCCGAACAGAGCAATCCTCTGCCTGCTCCTTCCATCGCGGAGCAAACCCCCCCCCCCCCTTTGCTCCCGTCCTTTAATGAGACCTCTGATCTATTTCGGGAAAGATTCAAAAAGGACTCCCTCTCTACCCTAGCAGGCGCCGTCCCTCCAATAAAATATCCCTCGCCACCTCCACTCAAAAAGACATGGAGAGAGTTTTACTAGTTTTTACACAAGGCTTCCTCCTCTTGGTTTCTAGAGAAGAAATCCCTGAACCCTCCTCTTGGTTTCTAGAGAAGAAATCCCTGAACCCTCTTTATACCTTGATTTATCTAATGCATTATTCAGTCATGATTTGTGTGTTCTTTTGTGCCATGTGTTCTAGGGTGTTGATCCATTGAACTGAACGTAGATAAGCATCATTCTCGCCTTTGCTCTCCTCTGTCCTTACTGCTGATACTGATTTGATCACTTAGTATTTGATTCCAAGTTTAATCTTTTATCATTAATCCTAAATTAGGTTGCTAGATCTGTTGAGAACAAGCATCACATCCCTGATCAGCGAAAGTAGATATCAGGGTGTGATGTGAGCATATTAGGTCTGTGTTTAATGTTTGCTGTTGAGTATTGGTCCACGCGAGAGCATAGGTACCTTTGCTCCTCTGCGAAAGGAGCACACCTGTGAGAGCAGGGTGTTCTAGTTAAGAAATCTGGGTTCTAGGCTGCACTTAAAAAGCTTGAATAATTGTTTGGTTCAGCATGGTTAACACCCAATGAGATACCCTAGGTTGACATCCTTATATCCTGAAATTAAAACTCAATTTAATTACTTGTTTCTCACGAATTGTTTCTTTACAAAACTTATCGTTTTAGCTTGAATTTGATCCTATAATAATAAAGTGTAATATTTGGTCTCTGTGAATTCGATCCTAAAGTGCTACATCGACATACCATTCGATTGTGGTAGTGTGCACATTAGGTTAATTGGTGTGCGTTTGCACGCAATATCAGCTTCGAAACAACATCCAGGCTGAGAAGGTTTCAAGCTTGGTTCAGATGTTTGAAGAGCTGGATTTTCATGAATTATTAGGTAATCATCTTAATTCTTAACTATTTTGCATATATTTTCTTACTGCATTTGATATTATGTAGAGTCTTTGAAAATTTCCGGTGAATCTGATCATTAGAGGTAATTTGTTACTCTCTCTGGTTTGTATTGTTTATTGTCTATCTCTCTAATCGGTTATCACAAGTCTTCTTACTTCATGAACTTGTTACTTGTAGGTTGGTGTGGCTTGAAACAAGGAAGAATCAAAACCAACTTACCTATCTCTCTATTTTGGACAACATCATTTTGAACTTCGTGAATCTATATATCTTTCAAATTTTGATTGATCTTTAGAAAAGAGATATAGATTCAGATTGTTGTCTTTTTTTTTTGTGTGTTTTCATGTTTGAGAGTGATCTCTTTTGGATGTTTAAACTTGGTTAGTTGGTTATAAGTTGGTTTTGAGGTTCTTTGTTTTTTTTGTTTGTTGTTGATTGCTTGGTTTAATTGATTTGGCAGGTGAAAACAGAGCCATAGCCGTATAAACCGGAGATAACCGATATTCGAGATGAACCGATAATACCCGAAATAATCGATTCAACCCAATTAAACCATTTTTTTCCAAAATTAATTTTCGGTTTTTTCGAAATTAAATCAAATTATATAAATAACCGATACCCGAACCGAACCGAACCGAATTTAAATTCGGTTTTCTTCGGAAATAGATTCCAAAATTCCGAATAACCGATAACCGAAAAATCGGTTCGGTTCGGTTTCAGAAAACCGAACTCGCAGGCCTAATATTTATACGGTTACCACCGAATTTAATTACCTATAAAGAGAGTAGAAACATGAAGTTTGTTATATGATATGTGTATGCAACATTAGACTGCTCTATGACTAAAGTTAGGCGATTCTAAGAAGCCATTCATGGGTTTTAAAAGCATAAAATAATGGTTAACTATCATATTTGTCACAAATTCAGATTACATAGGTTTTTGAGTTTTGATTTAGTAATCAAAACTGACGTAATCTACTTGATGTGAAAATATACTTTGTGTTATCATCTTATATATTACTTGCTTGATATTACCAAGTCGAATCTCCTGACGTGTGGGATGCCACCATATTTGAAGGCTTTAATAATTTATTATAACTAAATAACTTGTGATACAAGTTAGACATTGGACTATTCACTACATGCATAAATTTGTTTCATTATACACATTCAATTACCATTCTCACAAGATATCACACGTTAAGATCTTACAGACGCATATAATACACAACACACACAACCAAATATTTTAATAACTACTGACTTGGTTAAACTTCATCTTAAATTAGTTATTTATTAACATCCACCACCACCACCACCTCCGCATCCACCACCACCACCTCCGCATCCACCGCCGAAGCCGAAAAAACCACCGCCTCCTCCTGACTTTTTTTTGCTGGAACGCTTCGTACTCGACTTCAAAACAGCAAGCGATCCATCTTTCTTTCCTTTTTCACCCTTTTTATGATCTCGTGGATCTTTCTCCTTGCTGCTGAGGAAACAGCATAACGTTTGGATCATCGCGATGCTACTTAGCAATACACTCACAGATTGTAAATAATATATACAGTGTAAGCTTTTGTCGAGCCTTTTGTTTCTAATTTTCTCCTCAAATGACACAAGTTTCAAGTATGATATTATGTCGCTTTATATAGTGTATTTCCAAATGGCCGTACACTTAAATATATATATATGCATTTGTATAGAATACAAGACTATGAGAATGCCTTGTTTCCTGAAAGATACAAGAAATATTCTTCTTTATTAGTTAAAAAATCAAATACAAGAGTGAGATATTCGTTTATAAAATATATGTTGAATAGGTTTTTTTTATCAAATGTTGAATAGGTTATATATTCCAGGAAGCAGCACATTTTCGTTTTGTTTTATGAATTTAATATTCATATCCGATACGTGCAACAACAACCAAAGATCAATAAAATTTCATACGAAATATTCTACGAAACTATATTAGGATCATCGTCTTTTGTAACACATATAGTAGATCATCTACAAAAAGTATTTTCTTCTCAAAACATCTATTAAATGCACATAACATCTAATTGTGTTAAATTAGAAGTTAGCCTAAAAAAATTATTTTTTCTGTTTTAATATATTTGTTTCTTACTCTCTTTTACCAAAGTATATCTAGTTTTAAAGTTGGAGGTCATGTGTTCGGTTTTTCCAATTGCGTTCATTTTTCACCGAGTATTGACCAAAATAAACAAGAAACTGCGTAGGAATTTGTTGAAAGACACAAGAAATTACAATAGAAACTTTAATTTGTAGAAAATAAACAATTAACTATAACTACTTGGTTGGTAATTGCTATGAAAATTTAACGGATCATAAGAATAGATGAAACTCAAATCGAATTAGTTGAGACTTGTGACTTGCGAACCAGATTGCTAGTAAAAATCTTTGTTTGACTTCTTAATCATCTTTTGAACAAAGACTTCTGAATAATTGCCTTAACACAAAACAAAATGATCATATGCATGTCAGCCCTAAGATTTAGGAGATCATAGGCGGTTTATTAAAAATTTGAACAATATTTTTTTTTAAGAATTACGAAGCTTAGAAATTTTTTGGGAAGCTTTTGTCTGTATAATTATTTTCAGAAATTGTGGAGGCCTAATGTCAATGTTTCATTATGCTTAGCTAAGGACAGTTCCTATATGCAGATAGATCCTTTGACTTTGTGTATAAGCTTATAACATATAATTGGAATTTTTCTTATTGATTAATGTTCAAGGGAAAACATTATAGTTTACGGTCAAGTCTAAAAGGAGATCCAAAGTCATAGATTGAATAGTTGAAATTCCATGGAAACAAGACATAATAAATTTAGTCATGCGTGCAACTACTATACTTAATATATCGTATATATTACACATTCTCATTTTGAATTTATAATATTCTAGTGAAATGAGATGATTGAGCTTGCTCGATGATCAGGCACACTTTTCCTCTGAAATTACGAGAAAATGGAAGATAGAAAGCGCATGACTTACCCAGTCCTACACATGAGTCGTGCATGCGGGAACATCTTTAAACCATATACTGTAATAAACTGCATTTTTGGACGGTACAATATCCAAATACTTTCACTACAAATTCATAATAATCGTTGCAAAATATATGATACTCCACAAATTACGGTAAAATTTGACTCAAAATATATTACCACACAAAAAACTGTTCTCCATTGACCTAAACAATACAATAAGTTGCAGAAGAAATTTCAACTCTACTAATGAATATAACCAGTAAATTATGGAGTGAGATTGGAGATGTTCTTAGAAAAACAACTCATCGACCATGTCAGCCAAACATATTTAAAAAAACACTTGTTAATACTATCAATTATACATGTTTTGGGTATATCAGTTGCTAATGTCTAATACATTACAGACTGTAATACAGAGCTGTTCCAGCATCTGAGATTTCCAAATTTCAATGAATAATCGGAGTTTAATTTATCTATCTCCTCTTGTTCCTTCTTTATTTAGGTCTTAAGGAATGTGCAAGGCCTCAATTACTTTCAGAGAATCTTTCTTTCTTTCGGATTACACAGATCCAGAAACAGGCTTAAACCCTTCAAATCCATTAAAACATGATCTCTTGAGGTACAATATCGAAAGAACAATGCCATTATTATGAAACCTTGACAATGTATAATGAAAAAAAGGTGAAAGGCCAAACTATCGTTTTAAGTAGATGCAAGATTCTACATTCCAATCTAAACTCAGTTGCGACGACTAAGCTTTTAAGAATGTCTTTAAAACCTTTAGATCTCTATTTGTAGTTCTGTGACACCTCCAAGATGAGCTTGTCCATGAACTGGTACTTTTTGTCAAATCCCCAACCAGGATTACTCTGCATTACCCAAGTTTCAGAATAACATCATCAATACATCTTCCTAAGAGAAATCTCTGATTAAAAAAAAAACAGAGTGATGTTAGATGAGAGATAACAAACCTTAAGACTAAGAGCAGCACGATCTGCAAATCGTTTCACAGAATCAGGTGCACTTTGGGGAACTGTTGTAGCAATCCTATCGAGTTCCTCGTTCTGTTTCTTAGCAGTTACTCGATCAGGACCACTGTAGTGATCAACAATCTCTTTCATAAGAGGAGCTTCCGCCATCACTTCACTAATTGCTTCCTGGAAAATAAAAGTGAGAAGGTTAAGTGATCAAACGAAACGAAAGTACTGCGTGGATGCATTAAAAAGCAAGCTGAAGATTGTTACCTCCCATTCTTCTTGATCCTTGATCCCCTCCAAAGCCACTATGAAAGGCTTCACTTTCTCAAGACACTCACGCAGAGGCAGTGGTGGCTTCTCATCAATGTCAGGATTTGATCTAAAGTCAGGCATCAAATATTCCGGCTCACACTCAATCTATAAAACAAAGAGAGAGACAGAGAAAACTCAGAGTCAACAACATCCATTTTAATGCAAAGCCAAAAACATCAATAAGGAACACTAAAATAACTCAGAGACTGTGTTATTAATCTGAGACACTACAACCTATGATCTATTGACTATAGCTTATGATTCAATGCTAATGATATTGCTTCCACTGTTCCTGATCCTCTGCATCAAACTCTATACAATCACCAGAGAGATAACAAAAAAAACAGAAACTTTACCATGAGATTAGTATCATAAGCATCAACCAAGGCATCATGAGCAGTAGAAGGCAAAGCCCTTTCACAAATATCCTCATAACCTTCAGCCAACTTTTCCATAATCTCAGACCCCATCTTCTTAGCAAACTTCTCACCATCACCAGAATCACCAACGAATACACTCAAAGCCTCTTGTTCAGCTTCCTCTTCTTTCTTATCATCTCTCCATCCATCACCACCTCTTCCCCTCCCTCTCCCTCTCGCTCCTCTCCCTCTTCCCCTGCCTCCTCCTCTTCCCCTCACACCACCACCGCCGCCTCCTTCAGCTTCGCCGAGTGAAAGCTGGCTCCTTGCTCTCCTTCCAGCTTCTTCCGGACTCAGTTGGGGTCGTGGAGTCTCATCCTTGGGAGGTTGAACTCGCTTCTGACGCTGGGGAGGCTGAGGAGGACGTTGAATGTGGCGGTTGGCTTCATTTGGTGGTGGCGCGAGAGGTTTTCCTCGACCTGCTCCACTTCCTAAAGCATTAGACTCTTGTGGCGGCAAAGTTGCAGCCTTTGTATCTTCAAGCTTCGCAAATGGAGGAGGACTTTCCTCAAAATCTTCCTTGCCTTGTTCAAAACGCTGCTGCTGCGGTTCAAAACGCGGTTGTTGAGGTTCAAAACGTTGCTGCGGTTGTTGAGGTTCAAAACGTGGCTGTTGCGGTTCAAAACGTGGCTGTTGCGGTTCAAAACGCTGTTGCGGTTCAAAACGCGGTTGCTGCGGTTCGTAACGCGGTTTTTGCGTTTCAAAACGCGGTTGGTGCGGCTGAGGAGGGGTTGGAAGGCGAGGAGGCTCAGGAGCGAAAGGCGAAACGGAATCTGATCCAAGGGAACCTCTTCCACGGCCGATGCTATGTGAATCTGATCTTAACGAGGAGAAGGGAGGAGAGATCGGATCAGATTGGATCGGACGGCCACGACCATGTCCATGACCTCCTGGAGATTGCGATTGCGGTGAGCCACGTCCTTGACCAACAACCGGTTCGTTAGCTATTTCCGGTTCGCGATTGAAACCGAACTGTCCCGCTCCGGCGTCGGGGAATCCGGAACCGCCGCGTCCACGGCCACGGCCAGCGCCGTCGGAGGAGGAGGAAGAGGAGAAGTGAGATGTGGAGTGGATGAGAAATGGGGTTTGTTTGACTATGGAGGCAAGGGTAAAGGCATTGTTAGGGTTTGGGAATCTTCTTCCTATAACACCTCTCATCTCATCTGCTGGGCAAAGACAGCTAGTGATGGAGGGTTTTTGAGTTTTACTGTACTAAATCGGACAATGAGGTTTTTCCTCAACGTCGCCGTTTTGCAAATGTCCAGTTATTGCATAATTGCAAAGAAGTCCCTAAAGATTTTATAACTAACGAATAGGAATCTTATACTTTTGTTTTGATTCCAAAACACCCATGATTAGAACTAGGCATGGGCAAAAAAACCGAACCAAAGAACTGAACCGAAACCCTTAAATAACCAAAGGGTTCTTACATTTATATATCTGAAACCAAATCGGAACCGAACCAAGAACCAAACGGGTACTCGAATATATAATAATATTAATTTTCTATACATATAATATAACCAAATATATGATTTTAATTTAAAAAATATAATATAACCAAATATATGATTTTAATTTAAAAATCTATTAAGTATCCAAAAATAGTTAAAGATAACTAAATAATTATAAAGTATCCGAATTACCTGAATGTATACGGATAATTTATCCTAAATAATTGATAATTTATTTGAACTACCCGAACCATGAGAACCGAATTTTCTAGATATTTTTTTATTCCTAATTTTACTATCCGGACCGAACCGAACCGAAAATAGATCAAGTAGTAAATGGATTCTCTAACCCCCTATCCGAACTTCGAAATACCCAAACCGATACCGAAACGCCCATGCCTAATTAGAACCATGGTTAGGCTGAGCTTAGGCTTTGTCTCCAACGGATTAATAAAATCTAACAAAATTGAAAAAGTTCCATTTGAGAAAAGATGGTATGAACTGAAATGAGTATCAGAACAAGAACGCGGAAGCATGTTTCATCGTTGCTTTTTGACTCCACATACTACAGAACTGGGAGATAATAAACTCTGCTCTATAAAACAATTAAAATGACAAATTTAAAAACGAAATGTTTGCACCACCAACAAAGAGCGTATTCCCTTCTGTCTCTCTCCTAGTAGTTTGTGGATGGTGATCGAGTGAATCTTGATCTCACTGGTGTCTTTGAAGGACTTACCCTGAAGATATATTTAAAAAAAAAGAAGGTTTTAGTATCAAATGGAAGATTTATTGTAAAGGAACAGAAGCATATGTGTGTGTACCTTATTGCCTGAGTTCCTAACACTACTCCGCTGCAGTTTAGTGCTCCAACTGCACTCTCTGCCTATTTCCATCCCCAACAGCCCCAAGAAAAATAAAACATATCCAGTTGTTCATTAAAAACTAAGGATCAAAAGCCTTTCAACATTTGTTGGCTTTTACTTGTAAAACACTAATGCAAAGAAGACACAAAAACTCATCTGTTTGTAAGCAGAATCTGAGGGAGCTTACAATGGCAAATTCAACAAAAGCTATGCGAGTAGAATGCAACTGGTCACCAAGCAGCCTTATGCGAGTAACCTGTTTAAGATAAGAAGAAATGTCACTTTTTTTTGCATTTACACAACTTCATATTGCCTTTTCAGAGAGAGAAAATAAAATATTAGTAGCTCTAGACTGACCTCACCGCAGGTAGACTCAAAGAAAGTTCTGACATCATCTTCAGTGGCCTTGCAAATGTTTAAAACAAGTATCTTTAAACCCGAGAACATGTATGCAAAAAAAAGTAAGATAGACACAAACCGGGAACAAGTGTTTACATTCTTGTCAACATTAGTGCAGTAGATGGTTCTTGTACACTTCTCCCTTTCATCTTCTGACTGAATACAACACACAATAACCATAAAAGTTCAGTTTTCAAAACTTGCAGTGTAAAATAGGTTTCTCAAAATGGAAACTGTTGCTTTATTACCCTGGGGAGAAATGTGGGATTGACTGGAAGAATAGCAGTCTTTGAAGGCAAGACTCTAACTGGGTGATAACCGATTATTGTCCCACCGACACTTAAAGCAGCCCTTGCACCTTCTGCTTGATACAAAAACATTCTTACTCATGTGAATCAAACTTGGAAGTTGAAGTTTTTATAAAGAAGAAGACACCTTTAATAACTTACCGTCATCAGAGAACTCAACAAACGCAAAGCGAAGAATTGAATTTGGATCTCCACAAATTCTACAATCAACAACCTTCAAAGGAAAGAACACAATGTCAACACTTAACCACACACAAAGAACAGGATAGTTTGTAGATTTTAATCGTACGTGTCCATAGTTGCTGAACAAGCCAGCTAAGACTTCCTCAGTCACCTAATTGGAAAGAAGGATATATAATTAGAATGTTGCAAAATAGAAATCTTGAAGAGAGACTAATGGTAACTTACAGTCTGATCAATGTCAGAGACATAAACTGTTCTTCTAATACTATCCTCTCTTTGAGCCTTGGAAGCTCTTCCACCTATCCTAACTTTCCTTCCTTGGTTATAATCGTTTCTTCTCTGCAATCCACAAAACCAAAACTTGATACATTTGATGACTGTTAGTAAAAGATCTCATAAGAGTTGTTTTCTATAACCCAAACTAACTTCACTCATAGAAATCAAATTTCATTTACAAATTCAACAACAACCACCAAAAAAAAAAAACAAACTTTTTTGTTACCCTGACATCTTTTTTGTTGAATTCTTCACCAGATTGCTTCTTAGTGATGGCAAAATCATCATCAGAAGACAGAGACTGATTATTATCATTATTATTAATCTTCTTGTAAGAAGGGATAAACTCCTTAGCTTCAGGATTCAGTTTCTTGAACATAGACTCCAGCTTCTTCATTTGATCAGACTCCGGTTCGATTTTTGATTCAGATTCCGGTTTAGAATCAGTCACCAACCTCTTCTCAATTCCATCAACAACACCCTCGTGAACAGAATCGACATTCTCCGTGATCGCAGCCATTAATTAGATCAGATATTCCAAAACACAGCAACAAAAGATTGACAATTCACCAGAAACTGAAGACGGAGAGGAAATAAAAGTTTCGAGCTTTTTTTTTCTTTGTAAAGATCCAAAGAAAATTTGCTTTAAAATCGAAAAAATGAGAGTACTAATGAATTGTAACACTAAAGAGAATGGTTGATGGTAGGAATAGGATGATATAAAAATGTAATTCGGAATCTTAATGTAGGTAGAGGGAAAAGCTGGTGCGGTGGTTTTAGAGGGTAGCTATAGACAAGACGACGAAGACGGAATGATGGGTTTTTGTTTTTCTCTTTTTTGGCCTTTTCTACTTCCACACAAGACTGATTCGTGTTGTAATAAATTTTAATTTTTTTTTCTTATTATTCGAGTTGTAATAAGACCTTTGATTATTACGCGTAAGACCTATTATTTAATTTTATCCCACAAGTGCCCCCAAGTTTTAGCTTTCCCACAACAATAGTCTTTGTCAAAAATAATTACATTTGTTTGTTTGTCAACAACTCTGAAGTTGAATCCCAACACTTCTAGTTTACTACAATCATTTATTTAACAAAAAAATGGTTTCACATAACACTAGTATAACTTTTTTTCCAAAAATAATACAAAAAAAGAAAAGCTTCATAATAACATTAATTAAAAAAAAAAGTATTTTTAGATTTTAATTTAACGATTATAGTTTAATATGCAGAGTGTGGGGATTATGGTGGAAGGCGTGGACAAATATTGGATCAGACAAATTTAAGAATGTGCTGTCCAGACGATGGTGGTGACGTGGTGTTATCAACTCAAAAGGTTATTACATGTGATTACAATGTTTTCAATACAAGGACCATATAGTCCAATGAAACTAAATTACATAATATATGAACAATACTTTGTACCAGAAACTCTCATTCTTCTGTTCTCTCCAATGCCTCAAGTTTCAGAGCAGCGCTACAAGGCACAAAAACATGAACTTCTGAGTTTGCTAAGTCGTTATGCAAATGTAATGTTTCTATTGATGATATGCATAACATGAACTATCAATAAACAGAGAAAATCTCCTTGGGAATCTTGAAAAAAAGTAAATTTAGAGGATTTAGATATCAAACCTGTTGAGGCAATATCTTTTTCCGGTTGGACGTGGACCGTCATCGAAGACATGACCAAGATGGGCATTACAAACAGCACAGATAACTTCTTGTCTAGGCATGAAGATAATAGAGAGGTCTAGCTTTGACTTCACATTGTTTCCAATAGGTTGGTAATAAGATGGCCACCCGGTTCCACTATCAAACTTTGTTGCTGAGCTGCAACAAAAATTATCACCATGATATATTATAAATCCAATCATTCATCACTGCACATCATTGTCAATGAGTTTGAGAGAAAAATAGCAGCTTACTCAAAGAGTGGCGTGTCGCAACAGATACATTTGTATACTCCTGGGGTCTTTGTGTTCCAATACTCACTGATTAAGTGTAAGGAAAAGAACAAAGTCATTACAACGAGTGAAGAAAGATTGTAATAGTGTGTACTTGGATGGAAAAAATACATGCATACCCAGTGAAGGCTCTCTCTGTTCCCTTCTGCCTAGTGATGTAATACTGTTCTGGTGTTAGCCGTTTCTTCCACTCACCTTCACTTATTGAAGCAAAGTCACTCTTTGCACCTTCTGCACATCATTGAATATCTCAAAAACTCAGGGTTTTGCTATAACACTGAACAACAGGTAATTGAAACACACAAAGCTTTGATTGGTTAAAACATTCTTGATCTCTTTTACCGAATATTCTCATAACCGATTGAGTGGGACGCAAGTAAAAGCTTCTGACCTAATCTATCTTTCTAAACATCATAACCCTTTCAGATAAATGAAATTGCAAAGCTTTGATTGGTTAAAATATTCTACATCTATCTTAAACAAATATTCTCATAACAGATTGAGTGTGACGCAAGCAAAAGCGAAACAGTCAATTTTGGATTAGTAGATAGATATAGAAACCAATAAGAGACGAAATAACAGAACCTTGAACGCTGTCTGATTTCTGAGAAGAGTTAAAGGAACCCATGGAACAACGAAACAGAGAGAGATTCAAGTTTCTGGGTTTTGTTAGAGAGCGACAATCGAATCCAGAGAGACTCGGTTTGGAAATGGAAACGAGCCTTGTTCTCGCTGAGACGAAGCTTGATTGAATGGGGAAACAACTAGAAGACGCCATATTTCTTTGAATACTGTTTTGATTTTGAAGTCTTCTTTCTTGTATGACATCCACGAATGGAGAATGTTACAGAAAGAGAACACGTGGCACGCCGAGGATGCGAGACGACATCTGGAACTCTAGCTTCCACGTCGAATCATTCATTGGTAGTCCGTTAATGGGCTTTTAGCTATGGTAATAAGGGCCCATTAATAAACCAAGGGAACAATTATATTATGTAGAGCGATAGTTGGAACTATATATATATATATACTAGGATTGGCCCATAGACGGGCGGGTTATTATATGAAAGAATTAGCTAATATATCATTAATTATAATGAATATTTTAATATGTATATCTGACTTTAAGTTAAATTGACTTTTAGTTTTTATTGTATATATTTTATTATTTTTATTATCGATTATGTTTATTTTAATATTGAAAGGAAAAGATTACAATTTCATAATTATACATTTTTTTAATTCATTGATAAGTTATTTTCCAATGAATGAATATCATATATATAACTACCGTGATTCAAATATTTCAAATTGTAATCTATATTATTATTTATGAAATATTTTTTTTCTTAAAAGTTAGAATGGTTAATTTAATTGTTACTCTTAGTGAAATTAATATATATAAGTTATGATATAATTAAAAAAATATATTAATAATATTATATTTATATGTTAGCTTAAATAATTGACTGTAAACTAATACAATAAATTGGGCAAAAATAAAAACATTTTTCAAAAGATAATGCTTACATATATATTGTGTTGTATCAGGAGATGATATTATAACTACATGATAATTCTTATATATTGTGTTTTACATTTAATTACCTTTTTGCTTCTGGAAATAATATTATTTTATTAAATTTCAAAATTTGCGTTATAAAATTCTAATTAAATACTATTCAGTTAAAAAACATTTATATAAAGTTATTTTCTAATATAATTTTATATGTGATTGTTTTTAAATTTCAACACAATAATAAACATATATCTTTTGATGATTTTTTTTTGTCAAATTTAAATAATTGGTTGTTTTATTTATACTTTTGAAAATATAATAATACTTTATCATATCATGTTGGTTTTTGAATTAATAAATATACACTGATAAGTATTTATAGAAATATTATGCCCACAAGTACCTAAAATTAATTTTTTTATATAGTAGTACCTCTATAAATTGTACTCGATAAATTAATAAATTTTTCCGGTCTTAACTTGGGGGGTACAAAATTTGACACAAATCGATAAAGTAATAAAATAATATTTTTTAAAAAAAAAAAACTATGTATATTATATGGTTTTATTAAATTATAAATTAACAACTTATATGTATATATATTTTCATAAGTAAGAACCTATTATTAGATTAATATGATGGATCTGAAAACTGTCTCGTTTCAATAGAGGTAAAAGAAGGCGAAAAGACGTGATCGAAACATCAACGAATAGAATTGTCACGCCGACTTCTGCATCTCAATCTCTTTAATGCTGAATATCAAAGATTGTGATGAACCCTAGATTCAAAAACGGTGCGGATGAAGGATCTTACTTTTAATGATAACAACCTGGATCTTTGAATATATTATTGAGATCTAACAACACACAACGAAATCCATATAAATTGCAGAATTAAGTTAATGAAAAAGCATGTATGTAGTTTTAGTGGACATGTGTCACAATGTGATGCATTGAACCAGTAACATAACACCCTAGAATGAAGGAAATCCTACTTTATAATAATAGATATTTTTATTTCAACTGAAATTTAGTTATTACTTAGAATGTAGCCAAATTACATAAACACATATACAACAAAGAAACAACAAATAAATAACTAAAATGATAATAGAGCTTTCTGCGAACTTGAAATCTTTGTCGCATTTTGAATATCAGATCTCTGTGTTATATTATATTAGTCATTCCAATTTAGATCTATAAATATTCTTAGGTTTAGAATCTAATGTATTAATTCAACCATAAAAAAGAAAAATAACTAATTTTCAACGATTAGAAGATTATCGCTATAAAACAAAGAGATTTTATATTGTCGATTCTTGAATAATGCATTCCATCATTTCAAACAAATATTTTGATATCAAATATATTGTATCAACATATGTGTTAAAAAATGTTGGTTGACAAACATCATACTTCTTCTTCTTATCTTTAGATTTTCTTTTTTCATGTTGAATCCATGGTGGTTTCATTGGTGACCGAAGTTATCAAAACAAATTCGTAAGTTCTTTATTTTTTGAATTATGTAATGAGTTTTATACTATAAACAAAAAGTATCGAAGGATTTAGGTAAATGCGTGACTAAACCGTTGAAAAAAAGATAAAGAGTGTTTTCAATGTTCCGAAGAATCTTATCATACTATTGGTCGGACCAAGTTGTTGCCTTTTGTTGTTTTTCCTCGAACCGAGTTGTTGTCCATTGTCAAGAACACGACATTTCAATATCTTATGATATGGTCCATTAACAAATAGAATAAAAACTAAACTTTATCGCTTTAATTAATAAATCTATTTACTTATGAACTTTTTTATAATAAATATATTTATGTCGTGTCCGTGATAGATTCTGATTTTCGAATCTTTAATACTATACTCATAAATTCCATTTGGATTTTACAAATTATCGGATCGGATTTGATTTGGTTTCTTCTGGATTTAGTTAAGATTGAATTATAAACAATGTATAAAATTGTCTAAAATAATTTTTAAAATTAGAAAAATGACAAAAGAATAATTAAAATATACAAGTAATTCACAGATCTAACTAAAAGAAAAAAATAACCTAAACTAATTAAAAATTATTCAAATAATAAATAAAATAAATTATAAAATCTTTAAAATACTCTGAAACATCTAAATTATCTTAATATATATAAAACAATAACATATTCATTAATTTTGGATATAGTCGAATTCAAGTTTAGATTTCTGGTCAGTTCAAATTGTATCTATAGTTTAAAGTACCAAACTTTCAAATCCCGTTCGAATAATTTTTAAAATGGTTCGGATTTAGTTTCAATTTTTCCGGTTAGATAAGATAGAGAATTTGATTTGTAATGAATGAAAACGACGCCTATCTTGCAGCATGGAAACTGGTTCATTCCATTTTATCGATATTGAGGTGCAATAAAACAAATCAAAAGTCTAGTGACTAGTCACTAAAAATAAGTCAGCTTCTTCTTTTTCTTAAGAAGTCAGAAGTCAGCTTTTTCTAACAAGTATATTAAAAGAAAAAAATTTCCTCTATATATTCAGTTATATCAACAAAAATATGGAATTAGTGGCATTTCTTCAAAAACAGCACAAATATTTATAAAGAATCTTTCAATTTTTGCTTGACGACTTTCTTTTGTATGAGTCCAAATGTCGAACCCTAAGAGAAATATGACACTTTGACTTTTTTTTACGATGCCTTTGAAGTTTGAGTAGTGTGACTAGTCAGGTATACGAATATTAATTATTCACATAAAAATGGAATTAGAATTCTATAATATAAGGTCAACTAATTTTTAAAAGTAATTATATTCTTCAATATACGGCTGTGGTCAAAATTCCCTTTTTGTTGCTTGCATGCACTAAAACGTGCATGGATAAGCCTATTCGAAGAATAAAAAATCAAATGCCATATATCAAATTAATTCACATAAGCCTCACAACATGTGCCTATAAATACCTTTATCAATGAGTAAGAGCCTTACCATGACAAGATCACAAGATAAAGAGAAGAGGTAGATTAAAAATGATGATGGAAAGAGCTTATGTCTGTATCTAAGAGTCTTGCATGGAAAAATAGAGAATGATATTGAGCCAAAGATGACTTGCCGATTTTACTAACAAACCTAAAACTTTATTGGTTACCGGCAAGTCGACTTTGGCTCTATTTCCTTCTCTCATTTTCGATGTCAGATTCTAGATATATATTTACAATCATCATCATCATCATTAGTATCCTGCCTATAAATACCTCATCATAAGTAAGAGCTTAACCATGACAAGATCACAAGACAAGAAGAGAGAGAGACATATATTGATGATGGTGAGAGTTTCTCTTTGTATCAGAGAGTCTTGCATGGAAAAATAGAGAATGATACTGAGCCAAAGATGACTTGCCGCTTTTACCAACAAATCTAAACTGATTTAGTGATCGGCAAGTTGACTTTGGCTCTGTTTCCTTCTCTTCTTTTCGATGTCAGGCTCTTGATATATATCTACATACCATCATCATTATCCGGATTAGAACTTGTAATTTCATTGAAACTTGTTTTTCCCTATGTAAGTGTTTGATGAATGCTAATAGTGTATGCTCCTTTCCCTTACTCTTCTCACCACTAGGTTTCCATCAGATACGAACTAACACTAATTAATAACTATGTTTGCTATTTATGAAGCATTTTGCAAGTAACCTTGTGGTAATTTCTCTCATGCAACTCTCTTTGATCTCTTCCTATAAATTATTCAACGAATTTGGAGCATCAACAGCAACATATGGCCAGGGGTAAACAAGGTTGGCACGTACCGCTTCCATTTTCAGAAAGAACAGATCGCGTGTTTGACTGTTTGGTTAAAACACTGGCCCATACACATATGTGTTTGGTCAAGACGTCAAGGCAACGTGGTTGACAATTGTAATGTAAAGGTCAAGGCTTAGGAACTAGGGATTATTTCCAACTTAAAAACATAGTCTAATTAAAAGTAAATTTGTAATTTGCATACCAACGAATATTGTAGTTTGTAAATTTCCAACCTAACTATTTAATTTGTTCACATCTTTATGTATTAGTTACTTTAATGCTGCAAATATATGCAAACATTAAACCTGCTTTTGGCACTTGGCATTAGTGTTCCTCAGTTTTTACTTAGTTTACTTAATTACCGTATCTACCAGATAAGCGTTTTGGAAAATTCACTTTTATATAGCTCAAACTCCTAAAGATTATGTATTTGACTTTGACGTTGAGATCTGATGTATTTTATGCTCATCTGGAGGTAGAGGAAAT